GCGCCGAGCAATCAAACTTCAACAACCACCAGGTTCCTCATTTCTGTCAGACAAGACGACGAATCGGTTGGAGTGAACAAGTGCATTATTGGTAAGTGTTCATGTTTTTTATTTATTAAGAATATGTGTTGATGAAGCCAATAACATTAGATACCTTTTAATATGTAAAAACTGCGATGTCATTTAAGCGAGGCACATTTCAGCGACCGGTAGAACACGTTTGCTAGCAGTTCAGTATTTTCGTTTAGTCAGAGACGGTTGATAGTTTTATCTGAGACAATAAACGTTACCAGTTTTCATTGTAAACTTCGTAAAACGTTGTAGAAAATACCATTTCTGATATAAGTTAACGTATGTCAAGGCCAAACACACAAACATTATAGCTACCGTTCAAAAGTTTGGGGTCAGTTAGTTTTTAAAAGAAGCATCTGCTCACCAAGGCCGCATATATTTGATTAAAAATACCAACACCAACAGTGATATTGTGAACTATTATTCCAATTTACCGCTATTTTCAATTTAAATACATTTTAAAATTTGTTCCTGTGGTCAAACAAGCTTTAGATTTCAGAACCTAGATCTTTTAGATTTTTAGAACAACTTTGATAATAATAAAAGAATATTTCTTGAGCATCAAATCGTCATATTATACTGATTTCTGAAGGAGGTTAGTGCTGGGTGGTATACCGGTTCATACTGAAAGCCGGTGTATATTTTTATGATATTCATTTTTTAATAAACCGCCATACCGATGTATTTATTTACACAACTTTCGGAACCTACGTTGCCCTGCGCGACACTATTTCAGAAGGACCCTTTATCAATGTTGCATTTCTGAGCAGGGACGGTGAGGAGGGGGTAAATCAAAAATCTGTGCTCTGGTAACTGTCTACGGTGTTACGTTACAGGTAAGGGGGATGCTGCAGAACTATGGCGTTATTTTCCTGTTAAATGTCGAGAGAGCACTATTTTAGCGCGAAAGTAAATTAATATAATGCGCGAATCTGTCTGCTTGCACGTGGAATATCGCGCCCATGCTCTCAGATACACGCTGCTCTGGTTAGAATGTCAGTTTTCTCTGGGCTCGCTTAAAGAATCCTGCACTTAAAACGTGTTCAGTGCAATCGCGAATCTCTCCTCTTCCCCAGATAACAATTTGAGGGTTCGTAACGTTCCCATTAAGTTATTAAAACGTTTTTTTCTGAATGTTCTAAGAATATTCAAAACGTCCATTTTTTAAAACATTGTATTAACTATATTTCTTGGTTATTATAACGTTCAATATAAACGTTGTATTAACGTTCTTGCTTGGTTATACGATTAGGTTTTACTGGGTGCTATTCTATTCTACAATATTAAATAATGACTGTAAAATAAGACAATTTATTACAGTAATTCCCTTGAAAATCCTTTGAAAACCAGATTATGCATGGAAAAAAGTCATAAACTGGAAAACTGGCTTCATTTTGAGAGAAAAAAACAACAAAAAACGTGATCTTAATTTTGTCAAACCGCCATGTGACACTGAAGACTAATGATGCACAAAATTCAGCTCTGATCACAGGAATAAATTACTGTTTAAAATATATTGAAATAGAAAACAACTGTTTTAAATTGGAATAATATTTCACAGTATTACTGTTTTGTTTGTATTTTTAATCAAATAAATGCAGCCTTTGGTGAGCAGAAGATAATTCTTTTAAAAACCTAAAAAAAATTTACTGACCCCAAACCTTTGAATGGTTGTGTATGTTCATGGCCAGTGCTGCAAAATAATTTTAGATTATTAGCAGCCGCTCGTTTGCTGCAAGCTCATTATTGTTTCTTATTACAGAACATTGTTTGTGCTAGCTAGTGGTAAAGAGCAATGCAACAATTCATACATCCAATTTGTTAGACTTGACTAGAAATGTGCTATTGTTCATTTTTGCAATTCACATCACTTAGCAGCTAAAACTTTTCTTCTGTTTTGTGTGTTTCAGGTGTTTTATGAATTCACAGGCTCAGCTACTCATTTGATGAAGTGGACTTGTAAGTTTTGCAATTTTGCCTCGTACATTCAAAAGACTATAGTGAATCATTACAAGGAAAAGCATGGACGTGGAAGAACAGGTTTTAGTTGTATTTACCCAAATTGTCTTACCGTCTTTCAATCCCATGTGGAACTTTTAAAACATTTGACGGAACACAAACAAGGAACCAGTCCTGTTGTTAAACTTCGTTGTGAACTTTGTACTTTTTCAGCGCCAAGCAATATCAAACATTATTTTCTTCATTTAAAGAGACATTTGATAAAAAGAGAGACTGTGAATTGCCCATTTGTGGGGTGCTGTTTTACATCTAGAGTAGCCTCAACCTTTACTGCTCACAGAAGCCGATATCATCAGTCTTCTACATTCAATAATTTCAAACCTGAACTTATTATTCATTGTCAAAGTCAAGCTTCTGTCAATGACGAACAGGATAACTTTGATTTAGAGTCACCAGATGTTTCAGTGACTGAACCTGACTCTCAGCCTACACAGAAGTCAGTTGAGCGCAGATTTGCATCCCTTTTCCTTCGACTGCAAGCCGTCCTTCATGTGTCAAAGTCTGCGATTCAAGAAATTGTGGATGATTTGTTTGATATTGGAAAATGTGCTGAACAAATAACCAGGGAGTCAATTGAGAATGTTTTGGGGAAGCATAATTGCACATCTGAGGAATGTTTGACATCCTTGACTGAACTATTTCAAAGTGCTAACCCACTTAATTTCCTTTCAAGAGAAGGATCTTTAGGCACAGACTACAAAAGACAGTTATTTTTTAAAAAGAACTTTTGTGTCATTGAACCTGTCGAATATCTTTTGAACAGACAAGAAAAGTTTCATACTGTTGTCTATATTCCTATTCTAAAGTTACTTTCAGATCTTCTTAAAAAAGAAGAGGTACTGCAAGCACTGGGGAAAAACAAACCTGTTGAACAGTCTGGCATCTACAAGTCTTTTCTGGATGGTGACTTGTATAAATCGAACGGAATCCTCTCAGGTCAAGAACTAAGTGTTGCTATTACTTTGTATATTGATGACTTTGAAATCTGCAATCCCTTGGGCACATCAAAAAAAAAAACATAAGGTCTGTGGTGTGTATTGGGTTATTGGCAATTTACCATCTAGATACAACTCAGCATTGTCCTCAATCTACCTAGCTTTACTGTGCAAGGCAGAGCATGTCAGGATTTATGGTTATGATCGTGTTTTGAATCCTCTGATTGAAGATATTAAATCTCTTGAAACAGTAGGTGTGTTTGTAGAGAAACTAGGGTGTAATGTTAAAGGCACCATCTTGTTCGTTGCTGCTGACAACTTGGCAGCACATTCCTTAGGTGGATTCCAAGAGTCTTTTAATGTAGAAAAGTTTTGTAGGTTTTGTCTAGCCAATCGTCAAGACATACAAACGTGTGATGTTAGAACTGGGAACTTTGTTTTAAGGTCACCAGAATCATTTGATGAAGCTGTAAATGTCTTGAAGCAGAGGGACCTTGCATCTGTTGATGGTGTGAAACGAGACTGCCCTCTCAACAGCCTGACAGGTTTTCATGCATGCAAAGGCTTTCCACCTGATTTTTTGCACGATGTTCTGGAAGGGATTGTGCCTGTAGAACTAAGTCTGTGCCTTGCAGATTTGATTTCAAAGAAGTATTTCACATTAGAAGAACTTAATAGTGAAATACAGAGCTTCCCTTTTAAATGCTCGGATAAGAAAAATTGTCCTCAGAAAATTCCTTCAACTTTTCAAAAGAGTGGAACTGTAGGTGGAAACGGCCACGAAAATTGGAGTCTTGTGCGTTTCCTTTCCCTCATCATCGGCCACCGTGTTCCAGAAGGGGATCCAACATGGGAAGTAATCCTTGAGTTGAAAGACTTGGTTGAGCTCTTAGCAACTCCATATCACACTGAAGACTCACTGTGTTATTTGCAGTCCAAAATATCGGATCATAGACAGTTACTACTGACAGTTTTCCCGGATTACAAATTGCGCCCCAAACATCACTTTATTGAACATTATCCTTGCCTTATTCAAAGATTTGGACCCTTAATAGAATGTTGGACAATCAGGTTTGAGGCTAAGCATTCTTTCTTTAAGAAGGTAGTCCATGATGCCAATAACTTTAAAAACATTCTGCTTACCCTTGCCTCAAGACACCAACTTATGCTGGCATATTATTTTGAAATGCCCAGCATTTTCAAGCCTGAGATTGAGACAGCAAAAGTGACTGATGTGTGCCTGGGAGTCTTAGATGGTGGTCTTAGATTAGCAATCTTGAATAGATTCAATGATATTGACACAGTTGGACTGACCCCTAATGTCTTCTTAAACGGAACACAGTATTCAAAGGGAATGATACTTTCTGTTGGAAGTACAAGTGGACTACCGAACTTCGCAAGGATTTTGGAAATATGCATTGTGCAGCCTGGTCATGTTTGTTTCTTCGTTGAACCTTATTTGACTTACTATGTGGAGCATTTGAGGAGTTACCATCTTGTGAAGAAAAGTCCTGCCGAGTGTCTCTTGGTGAAACCAGAGGATCTCAATGACTACATGCCACTTGTGTCATACCCTGTCCAGGGTCGCCTGTTAACCACTCCTAGAACATTCTTGCTGAATTAAGGCTGCTGTAAGTTTGTGTTTTTCTACTCTGATGTAAAAGTATTAACCCTCTTGCAATGTTTCCCAAATCTTTCAAGGAACAACTCAGGTGTTTGTTGTCCTGCAAAATATAATTTAACAGCCTGATACAAAAGAATTTACCCTCTTTGAGGTGTTTTCCAAATCTTTTCATTATTAACCATTTGTTTCTATGTATACAATGAATTAAAAAATTTTTCTTCTCCAATTTCAGGCCGAAGTGATCCACGATGCTGCTGCGAGTTGTCCTCTCGGAGATGGATATCAGACGCCTTTCCATCGAAATCACCCCCCCTAGTGTTGATGCACTGTGCCAGGTGTTGTGTGCAAACCTTGGCCTGAGAGGTGGATTTATTTTACAATTTGAGGACCCTGCGTTCAAGGATCAGCTGACCAATTTGACCGACATCCGAGACCTTCCTGAGGATAGAGCAACATTGAAAGTGTTGTTCACAACTGATGCAGCTTGCTCGGATTCCACATTGGATACAGCCAGCCTTCCATCTCTCAGTAGTGGGGAATCTGACTCTCAGCTCTGGCCTGAGCCCTTCCCAATTCCAGAGTTCTCGCATGATGTTGAACTCACACTGCAAGAAGCAAATGGAAGATATGCAAAAGATGGATCTGTGCTGATGATTCCTAAAGGTATGAAAACTGATATCCTGGACACACTTGCAGACAGCATGTCAAAGATTAGTCCTTATCCTGAGAGGCAACACTATGAAAATGTTGCCAAAGCGCTTGTGGAGAAGCATCCCAGTCTAAAAGAGCCAGGGTCTGGAAAAGGTTGGTACGGCTGGTTCCACAGCCTGAAGTTTAAGCTCGGAAACTATAGACAAAAGTTAAGTGCAGCTGGATGCCCGGAGGTGAGGGTCAACAAAAGAAAAGGAGAAGAAGCCAAGGGACCACGGATGAAGAAGTCAAAGAAGGGTGAGGTCCACTACTGTCCAGATCCCCCTGAAGGACTGAGTGATGAAGACATGGAAGAAAAGCGGAGGATGATGGAGGTACATCATACACGCACATCATACCTGTTTATTACTGCATACATACCTGCCTATATAATACTAACTACCTACACTTTGCTTTTGTTTCTGTGAAGCCTAATATTTTGTCTTAGTATGTGTCCTTTCTGCTTGTGTAATCTGCAGGTGGAAGTGCTGAAAAAAGACCTAGATCACCAGCAGATAGATAACCTGATGTCTGACACGTTCTCCAAGCGCAGAAAGGAGATCGTAGGGGATCAACCTCTCATTGGGGATGTCATGGCTAGATGGCCGGCCATGTTCTGTGAGAGACAGGTATAACAATAGAAAACACTCAGCCTAAGATTAATCACTTAATCCAATGACTGGATATCAATGTATGAGCTTCTCTCCAGGAAGTAAAAGGGCAATTTCAGCTTTTTTTTTTTTGTCCGAAAGGTGGCATGAATGAACATACAGATAAGTGAGAGGATTGTGTTTAGTATTACTGAGTGGATGACAGTCTTTGACAACAAGACAACCTTAGCTTACTAAATTTTGACTTTTAATTTTTTTCCCTGTAATTTCTTAACTTTTTTTGTCTCCTCAGGTTCGGGCAGAGTTCAAAAGAGTCGTAAGCACAGACCTTCTCGAATCGTTTCTCGACGGACTTGATGACCTGGCACCAAGACTGCTGGAAGTGTACGAAGCTGCGACAAAGTCGGCAAAGAAGCCTGCACTGAAAGCCATTTTGGACTGTCTGAAGAAAGACGTGAGTAGACCAGCTGAGAATTGTAAAATTGGGCACCAAATGTTTGCAATAAAATCTCACTGCTTAGTGTTTTTTATTGTAGGACACAAACGAAAGGAGAAGGACTGCTGCTCTGCTGGGTCTGCCACACTACCTAAGAGAAGAGCCATCAGACATCATCAGGATGTGTGATGTAAGACATTTTTCTGTCATCCATAACTGCCCATATACGAACCCACCCACCTACATATAAACTTACACACACACACACACACCCTTTAACACAGAGATTGGATTAGATGCACTCATAGGTGTTGGTAAAGTCCTGTGACAGCAAAATAGTGATGATGCAGGGAGAAAGGAGGGGTAGAATAGTGATGGGCAGAGGACCAAATGCAACATACACTTCCCCAGATCTGAGAGGACACTGAAGTTTTCACCCTGGCAGTAACCTTCCAACATTGCACCTATAAACATGCACACTCACAACTGAAAGCCCAAGAAGACTATTTTATTTGCCTGAAAACAAGGTTTATGATCACTGAGACTTGAGTAGCTTTGCAGAGCATGTACATCTTGACCCAAACATTCACAGTATTTTTTTTCTGCTTTTCAAGGCCCATGGTGAGACTCTTGCTGAAGCCATGGAGGGGATGCAACTTGGCCTGTTGATAGGCTACGAAGGTGACAACCAGGATGCCTTTCCACATGAGATCTTCAATGTGGCTGTTGTGGTTGAGGAGACTGTTGTGCTTCACAACTTCAAGGATGTGCCATCGAGCTTTGCCATGCTTTTGGGGATTATCTACTGTGTGAACCTTGAGTATCCACAAGCCATGAAGTATTCTTTTGAATTCCTTCAGAGGGTAGTGATGAAGATCAAACCAGATCAAGCTTCTGCCAGAGTCCACGGCATTCAAAACAAGCTCCTGAGGTATAATTTGTAAACAATGCTACACCTGAGAATGGTTTGGAATTCTTTTCTTTTTTTCTTCTTTTTCCATTTGTTTCTGTTGAAATGCAAGCCAAAGTTGAAGGCAAAAGCAAGCAAACAGGAGAGGAGCCCTGTTTTTTGTTGTTGTTGTTTTTTTTGGACTTGATCCATTTGCTTTTGTTGGACTGAATACATTTAATGCCGAATATTGTTCAAATAATATACTAAGTATACTGTATTCAGGATTCAAATATTTGAAAACAACCAGCTGAAGTTGGCAGTCTGAAGTTTTAGTTTGTTTGTGTTTGGGGTTCAGGACCGCTTTTGGTATAATTCAGCTGGATCTGTGAGATTGTTAAAGGATTGGTTCACTTAAAAAAAAAAAAACTTTTGGTGATAATTTACTCAACCCCATGTCATCCAAGGTGTCCTTGTCTTTCTTTCTTTAGCCTAAAATAAATGAAGACATAGACATCTTAGATGACATGGGGGTGAGTAAATTATCAGCAAAAGTTTTTTTTTTTTTAAGGGGGAACTAGAAAAAAGGTTTATTTAAATGGATACTCCACTTTTTTTGGAAATAGGCTCATTTTACAACTCCCCCAGAGTTAAACAGTTGAGTTTTACCGTTTTTGAATCCATTCAGCCAATTTTCTGATTTTTAGAAGAATATCAGTAACCAGACAGTTTCTGGTCTAATTGACTTTCATAGTATATTTTTTTCCTACTATGGAAGTCAATGAGACCAGAAACTGTCTGGTTACTGATATTCTTCTAAATATCAGAAAATCATCTGAATGGATTCGAAAACGGTGAAACTCAACTGTTTAACTCTGGGGGAGTTGTAAAATGAGCCTATTTCCAAAAAAAGTGGAGTATCCCTTTAAATGTTAACATTCAAAACCTGTTCAGTATTTTCGTGTTGTGTAAGGAAAAAAAGCTAATGCTTTCAAAGTAATGTATTTTCTATTGGGTGACTATAAATAGTGTTTAGTACATCTTTGGGTGACCTAATGGGGATATGACAAGCAGAGGTTTGTGCTCGCACTTGTAGAAGATGATCTTCTATTTATCTTAGCCTCATGTTACCCACACCCAACTGAAATTTGGTACCTAAAAAGTTGTTGATTGCATATTGAAAATGTTTGAGATGAAGTGTTTGTATAGCTTTTATTGGCTTAACATTGGTTTTAATAAAAAAAATGTTTTGTACTCAAATTTGTGTGTTTTATATTAATTGTTAAGTTAAAACAAGGCATTCTTTTAGATTATCTTAACTTGATACCCTAATTCAAATAAATTACTTAATTGAAATTACTAAGTTCAACCCACTAATGGGGATAAGTGAACAGAATGCTCATTAATGAGTTCACTTTATTTTGAACTTGCATAGCAAAGTTGAAATAACAATAAATGTTAAGTCATGTTGACTCGCAGAAGGCAATTCACAGCTTAACAAGAATCAAAATAATGAGTTAAAACAATTTATTAATCCATTTGGTAACACTTTAGAATACGGTTCCTTCGTTAATGAATAACTACACAAGAACTAATGAGTAACACAATATTAACAATCTAGTAACTATTATTAACTAACAAGAAACTCTGATTAACGAACTAGTAAGTAATAGCGCACAGACGAAAGTGGTAGTTCACTATTAAGTAATCAATAACTACTAATTTTTTAATACTTCCCAGAGAACTACTGAAAAAGTTTATTAACAATCTAGTAACTACTATTAACTAAAAGAAATTCTTATTAACGAATTAGTAAGTAATAGCTCACAGATGAAAGTGTTACTAGATACTTCTGTGGGAATTACTAATTATTTGGATTCGTATTATAAAGTGAAGATCATTGGAACTAACTAGTAATTACTCAAGTGTTACTAAAGACATTTTCTAAAAGTATACTAAAGTTCACCAAAAATCTCAAACGTTTGCACAAATCATGACTAGATCATGTAGTAACACTTCAGTAATTACTAGTTAGTTCCAATGATCTTCACTTTATAATACGGATCCAAATAATTAGTAATTCCCACAGAAGTATCTAGTAACACTTTCATCTGTGAGCTATACTTACTAATTATTTGGATCCGTATTATAAAGTGAAGATCATTGGAACTAACTAGTAATTACTGAAGTGTTACTACATGATCTAGTCATGATTTGTGCAAACGTTTGAGATTTTTGGTGAACTTTAGTATACTTTTAAAAAATGTCTTTAGTAACACTTGAGTAATTACTAGTTAGTTCCAATGATCTTCACTTTATAATACGGATCCAAATAATTAGTAATTCCCACAGAAGTATCTAGTAACACTTTCATCTGTGAGCTATTACTTACTAATTCGTTAATAAGAATTTCTTTTAGTTAACAGTAGTTACTAGATTGTTAATAAACTTTTTCAGTAGTTCTCTGGGAAGTATTAAAAAAATAGTAGTTATTGATTACTTAATAGTGAACTACCACTTTCGTCTATGCGCTATTACTTACTAGTTCGTTAATCAGAGTTTCTTGTTAGTTAATAATAGTTACTAGATTGTTAATATTGTGTTACTCATTAGTTCTTGTGTAGTTATTCATTAACGAAGGAACCGTATTCTAAAGTGTTACCATCCATTTTGTTTTTACTTGAAATTTTGAGGCAGCTGCTTAACTTATGATTTTAAGTAGAACCAAGTAGATATTTTTTACAGTGTGGTCGTGATGAAATATATAATTGAGTGTCGTCAGCGTAACAGTGGAAATTAATTCCATGTTTTCTTATAATATTACCAAGTGGCAGCATATATATTGAGAATAGCAGAGGACCTAAAACCGATCCTTGCGGTACTCCGTAGTCTACTGACGTTATCTTTGATTTTTTCCCATATGTGTGTGTCAATATAATATAAGCATATACGTAACTGTGAATAATTTAATTGTAAAAGTCTGTCCATTTTTAACAAAATTGTATGTATTTACATATATTTAATTATTCACAGTTACGTATATGCTTATATTATATTGACATATAATAAATGCATTATAAATATGAGAACACTTGGATTATAGCAATGCGGGCAGAAACCACCACACGAGCAGCATTTCTGTGTATTTTAGTGCTGGACTTCCAAGCACTATCCTCTCTCTTTTTGAAGGTTAAACTGGCAAAACATGTTTTACATGTTTTGCAGCTGGCATTGTTGAGTGCCTGGCATTGGGGACATGGTCTCTGTTTTGGTTTTCAGTGATTCTTGGGAATTTGGATAAAACAGGTTTTAATTTTGAAAATAAAAAGTTAGTTAAATTACAAAATCTGAAGGTATATCATTATAAAGCAAGGTCTTGGCTGTTCAGCAATGCACCGGTGCAACCTCCTCATTTTGTATTTTTTTCATAAAATAGGCGTTTCTCCAGATATCACTTTGTTTTTGTCAACACCGTCAGACAAAATAAATAGCAAATTATTTTTTATTTGTTTGGTCTAATATGTATTTAGAGTTTTTAAATCATTATCTGGCATTCTTGGTACACATATATGCTGTTAAATGTTGAATATTCACTTTTGTTCATTTTTTATACTGTTTTGCGTGTACTCTTTTAAAAGATATAACATCATACAACATTTACTTTAAGCCTAAATAGAAAAATTAATGTTGTTTTATTTAACAAACATATTTTTGTATTAAAAGAGACTATTACTTTAATAACTCAACAGCACTGAAGAATCATATTTTAAGTATATTCATTTAAAACCAATAAAATGTCTCAGGTTACGACTGTAACCTATGTTCCCTGAGAACAGGGAACGAGACAATACGTCGAATGACGCAATGGGGAACGCCTCAGGCGTGACAGGTGTCTGTAATCAAATATCAACTCACAGTAATCAGGTTGACCGGCGACAGCCCGTGCATCATCAGCTTGAATGATGAGCGCGTCAATCTGGATGTATAAGAAGGGCGCCTTGAAACCGTGACAACATCCTATCGTCTGAAGGGACTGTTGCAGGCAGGCCCCGAGGCATGGCAACGAGACGTATTGTCTCGTTCCCTGTTTTCAGGGAACATAGGTTACAGTCGTAACCTGAGACGTTCCCTTTCGAAGGGAACTCAACAATACGTCGAATGACGCAATGGGGAACGAAATACCCACTCCGCCATGCTGAGGGGAGTGCATGCCGAAAAGGCAGTGACAACTGTCTGAACCAGTAATTCCAAGGAACACTAAAACCACTCACCCTATGTTACATCGGGCTGTCAGTGACAGCACTCCCTACCGGTCATAGCCCAAGCTAAGGGCCTCGAAAAACCAGAACGTACTAACGTGGGTAAATCGGGGCCAGCTCAAAGGCTTTAGGACCACCACTTCAAAATAGAAGGGGTCCCTTCTAGGGAGTGTGGCTAGGGGGCCAAAGGGACCCCCAGCCAATCACTATTCAGGAGAGCACTCCTCCTGAAATGCCCCCAGGCTGGCCTGGTGATCTGTACTAAGACACACAGTCTGGCCATAGCCTGTCCGTCCAAGACAGAGCCTCTGGAAATTGCCTAGGAAAGGCATCCAAAAACTGAAGGCCCACGAAGCTGGCAGAAACCATCGAGTTTCGGATCACAGAGACGGGATCCTCCGGAGAGTGTGACTCAACCTCAAAACAACGGGAATCGTACACTCAATCCACGAGTTTCCACCCAGTGCTCGCTTTGAGCACTGAGGAAGTAAGAGAGGGATCAAAATCAGGAACGTCAATGAGACCTAAGACCTGATGACCCCCTGTGTGGGGAGCTCTGAAACATGAGGGCTCATGTCAGGAAGGCCGTACATTGTGCGGCCTGAAACCCCACGACCACAGCATGTGGAAGCTCATCCTTCAGGAAAGCCAGAGGCTAGAAACCTGACAGACCCACAATATGGGGCTACCTCGAAAAAGGTCTAATGAGACCTAAAACCACCAGTTGTGGGAGATAGCTTGAACAAGGGAAGTGCCTGTCGTAATGTATTGCAACAAAGACACATCTAGAGTGGGACCCAAAGTGAAGAACCGGAGTCTGAACCACATAAGAAGGGACCGAAGCATACTGCGCGTGACCCTCACCATAAGAAATGGATTTTAAAAAAGTGTACAAGACATCTCGTCGGGTGACTTACCACAATAATAGGTGAAGTATGGGTTTGTGTACTTCACTCTGAATTCAGGAAGGCCT